TTTTTTAAGAGAGAGTATGGAGATATTTTGGGGTGTGTGTGCAAGCAGGGGGGGCGAGGAAGCAAGTAACAAATATCCATCCTCACTTTCTGTTCATCAATAAAAATTTTTTAAAAAGGGACTCTGTGACCCAAACAGTTCTGTGTGAATAGAGTGCTCACAGACACACTGCTGAGGGACGGCTTTACCTTGACTTGAAAAACCAGCTCATTTCCACCAACACTGAACTGTGATTCAAACAGGATAGTGAATTTTTCTTCAGTTACTGACTCTGCCCCACGACGGTCAGACCTCTTGATGCGTTTCAGGGACTGCAAAGGAGAAAATTCAGGTGACCAGGTCCTCAGACAAGCAGGGGAAATCTGCTCTTCCCCTCCCTCCATCCTCACCATGTTCCGGAAGTGGGCGCTGAGCGTGCCGGTGGCCTGGTGATACTCCATGACGCAGCAGTTGTTCAAGATCTCCCCACTGTACTCACTGCCAATCAGAGAGAGACGCAGCTCTGAACCCCCGCAGGGTCTCGGCTCACAGCGGGCAGAGATACCCTCGGGGTCGGAGGAACCACAGAAGGTATTTAAAAACTTATGTCATGCCACGACTGGCTTGGCTCAGGGGACAGAGAGTCAGACTGAGGACTGAAGGGTCCCAGGTTCGATTCCGGTCAGGGGCACATGCCTGGGTTGTGGGCTCGATCCCTAGTGGGGGGCCTGCAGGAGGCAGCCAATCAATGATTCTCTCATCACTGATGTTTCTGTCTCTCTCCCACTCCCTTCCTCTCTGAAATCAATAAAAACATGTTTAAAAAATAAATAAAAATTTACGTCATTTAGAAGACACGTGAGCTCCATAAAACACACAAGAAATAAATATACATAAAATATACAAAAGTTTTCCTAAGTGAATTCCTACTAAGTGAAACCATGTCATACTATCTGCACAGAAGAACCCCTTCTGCTCTTCCTCTGAGAGCCAGAGACGCCAGCAGGGCTGCCGGGCCCCCCACACAGGACCCTTCTGAGGAGGATGTCTCCACCCACGGCCGGGCCTGGGAAAGGGGCCGAGCCCAGGCAGGACGCACGTACTTGCGGGTGTTCTCGT